TGACGTACACTGTGTGCACGTACTCACACAGAGCTAGAGAGAGAGAGAGAGAGTGTGAGAGAGAGTGATATAGTGAGAGAGAGAGCGAGAAAGAGATGGAAGGGGGACCGAGAGCGAAGGTAGACAGAGCGCGCACGCACGAGCAAAAGAGAGCTAAAGATGGCGAGAGAAAGACAGAGCGAGAGAGAGCAGAGAAAGAGAAAGAAAGAGAGAGAGAGAAATATAACCGTGTCAGGCAAATAGTATAGTAAGTCTACTACTACTACTGACAAGATCGTTCGACAGTAATTCGCTTCCGCACCTCTCTGTGTGTAATTTACCGCGACCTACAAGCTTTGCTCGCCCAAGTCACTTATTTACATCAATCATATAGTCGCGGCGATGAGTAAATAATGCGAAGATGCAACACCAAAGAGCCTCATTGCCAAGATAAATAAAAGCATAGAGTTATTGAGATGTTCGTAAACAACGATAAAATATGTATCGCTATATACTTAATGTTTTTGTAAGCGGCATTGGTATCGGTAGCGGTATAAGGTTGTAATCTCACTATGCGACACAAAATCTTGTCATTTAGCGTTTATCACGGTTTTATTTGCCATTGGTAGACGCGCCCGTGCTTGCGTGTTTGTATCAGAAGTACGTCAGTTGCGCGCGTCTATGTACATGTGCGTATGGGCGGGCGTGAGCGTGCGTCTTTGGGCGAGCGTGCGTACGTACACACGTGTATGTGCGCAGGCGTGTGTGCGTGCGCGCTTGCGTTCGTGTGTACTTGCCTGTGTGCTTGCCTGCGTGCGTATGTCCGTGAGCGTGCGTGCATCTCTGGCAGGGTGCAACTGTAGTTTAGCCGTGTGTGCGTGCGTACGTACGTACGTGCATCCCCGAAAGTGTGAAATGTTAGTTTAGCGGTGTGTGCGTGCGGCGTGCTTCTGTGCGTGTGTGCGTGCGTGCGTGCGTGCGGCGTGCGTCTGTGCGTGTGTGCGTGCGTGCGGCGTGCGTGCGTGCGTGCGGCGTGCGTGCGTGCGTGCGGCGTGCGTCTGTGCGCGTGTGCGTGTGTGCGTGTGCGTGTGTGCGTGCGCGTAACCCCGAAACGGTGCAATGTTAGTTCAGCGGTGCGTGCGTGCGTCTGTGCGTGTGTGCGTGTGCGCGTGTGCGTGCGCGTATCCCTGGCATTCAGGGCCTAACGGTAGTTCAGCGGTGCGTGCGCGGCGTTCGATTCGTTGTTTGCAAGATGTTTTGGCTTAGAAAACGCGACGCTAATTCGCTGCGACGGCTCGCAGCTTGAAGCTACGAGATCGTAATCGGCTTAACACTTACTTACCCGGCGCGTTAGCAGCGCTCGCCCGTCTCTCTGTGTGGGAATGAGTGAGAGAGACAGCGAGCGAGAGAGAGAGAGAGAGCGAGAGAGACCTGAAGATGAAAGGAGAGAGAGGGTAGAGAGGGAGATGAAGATAGACAGAGAGAGAGAGAGAGAGAGAGAGAGAGAGAGAGAGAGAGAGAGG